TATGTTCTCCACACATTATATTTCACAAGTCACAACCTTCTTTTGCAGCTAATGAGTGTTTTTTGTGTAACAACCAATTCTGTACATATAGCTTCAAGTCATGAATGCAGAACGAAAAGAACACCCATTTGAGTTTTTCACCAACTTTTTCCCTGTACAGCTTCCCCAAACTTGAACCTAAAAAACCTATTCCATATCTCCACCCATTTTTATACATTCAACCAAAATATCAATCAGTGATGACAGGAGCTTCCTCTTGTCCCCTCCGACAATCTGCTCCTCCTTTAACCGTCGAATGCACCACCATCTCTTGCCACCCCATATTATCTACACCACTATCATGTTCCTAGTAATTTACAAATTTACGAGTTATGTACCTGCAAGCACTACGAAAGATGGAACGAGCCTTGCCCCTCACTTATGGCATACAAGAGCCTCTCTTTCATTCTCTCCTGCAAGAAAAATTGCCATTCAGAAATCTGTGCCACATTATCGAGGATAAAAGATATAATACAAATCTGAATAGAAAGGGAAGGAAAGACACTTTTGATGAATAAGGTGGCAACTTCAGGTAGTTGGCACAAGTCATCACGCTAGGTAGGTCTGCATCTGCGCAATTGCCACTATGCTGTTGGAAACACCAAAAAGATAAAGAAATGAATAAAAGATGGCTGATTGAGCTTACATGCAACATTGAAAATCAAATGTTCAGTTGGTACAAACCTTACGGACAATTGTCAATTTTGGATGTAGGGATGCCAGCCCCCCTGGAGGAAGTCTAGGTGCCCCAGTCACGAACTGCAGGAATGCTCGTCTATGTTCAGGGGAAAACTCCTCTATGATTTCCAGTAACTGAAATAGCAGTGGATGAAGGAGGATCAAAACTTGAGAGATTGAAGCCGAAAATTAAATTCCAGAGGAATGCAATTAATACTAACACTAATAATTGGAGGACTGCTAGCTGTGTATCCATGATCAAACTTGATATGATCCAAAAGTTCATTAATCTGCTTGGAAAAAAAATAGTCAGGGTCATATTTACCAAAAATAACATAGTCAAGCTACTCATTGTCCCCAAAACTAATAGATCAATCAAGCAAGTGATAGATATACATACAGTCCAAGAGTCATGTTCTCCACAGAGTAAATGCTCGAGCTCTTCTTCAGTAAAAATTTGGAGGTGCTCTATTGAAAAAACCTGAGAAGACAACCACATAGATAGGTGGAAGGGAAAATATCACCATTTACATTTTCTCCACTTATGACAAAATGGAGGGTCAGTTTTGACTGAATAAAAGATCAATACTAAATTGTCCTGAAGAACCTCCCCATAACAAACATAAAAGTAACTATTGCTTAGAATGTGCTGCAGAAAGCACCAACCAACACCAGTATGGTGAGTTATATTTATTTTTTTCACAAGAAACTCTAAGGGCATGCTAGGACTTTAGGCATTGCGATTACAAAAACAAGTGTGATTATATTTATTTAGGCTAAGCTTATATTCTAAAGGAAATGTTGGAAAGATTAGCATGGCCATTTTACTTCTTTCTCCTTAAAAAAAATTAAATTAAATTTAAAATATGTGTTCATAATAATAATAATAATAATAATAATAATAAACATACATTAAAGTTAGTGGAACAAAATTGAATCGATACAGAATTATCCTATCCAAGTAGAATAACAAAGGATTGAAAGATATTACAAGCTATCAGAAAGAAAGGGATACAATATCCCACGGGGCATACCTGGTTAAATCCAGATTTAAAAGCATCAACCTGTCTGGAAACTCCACTTTTTATGGTAGCATCCACAACAAGCTTAACATATTCCTCCAAGTTAGAAAAATTGACCTGTAAACATGACATAAAAAATACAAATCAAATCTGGACTGCTACTAGCAGATATCATGAGAAGTAGAATCCAATTGTATTATATGAAACTTACAGTATTATAATCATGATCAGAAAGAACATAATCTGGATATCCAGGAAGAGCAAAGTCCAGACAGAGGTCCTCAATCCTAGTGTTCCGGAAGCATGAGTCCAATTGTAATGTTGAGTTTTCCTCACACATGGATTCCAAAATTTTTTTCCTACCAACAAGAGCCTGAAACTCTAGCAGTGTCCTACCAAGCTCAGGGTCAAATAATTGGATGTCATACAGACTAAGGTCCTACAAAAACAAAGTGTGAATCTTAATTTCTCTAGTGTATGAAATTAAATATTCTATGAAAAATTCAGAAACAAGCCCATTCCAATGTGAATTAAAAGCTGAAGAGAGTATCCCAAAAATAAAAAATAAAGGCTGGACAGAGTATCTCCCATCAAAAATTAACATGGACTTAAATATTTTTGAAAAGTACAGAATCTAAAATTTAATCTGGTAAAATACCTGCCCAAGAATAAGTTTATAGAAGGCTTTGGAGAAGGGAAGATCCAGTATCCTTCCATTTTGAATAGCCTTTGCCACAATTTGCCCCAAAAGAAAAAATTTTTTTAATACTTCAGGGAACTCAATCCCATCACATGCATTTGATGTAGGTGACCATGGACGAGGGAAAAGTCCAAAAGGAGTTATCAGGATTCCAGAATTCCCAACACAGTAGGCTTTCATCATGGAAAATGAACTGTGATCATCTCTCCACATGCCAAGGCCAGGCTTCTGAAATTCATGACTAACAAGGGTATAGAATTCTAAAGTGGGACCAAGACCAGTGCCAACTTCTTCGTTGTATTCCACTTCAAGCAGTACTTTACTACGGGCATGCAAGTCCATCATTCTGGCAGCAGACTCCAGAATCTGGTCCCGTGAAACCAAAAACTTCTTACGAGGCAAACTCCCTGGAGAAAGTTGCCTGTCACTTGAACCCCCTGAATTGTTATTAAGCATTGGACGAGGTTGAACTTTCCTTGGACCAAATGCAGCTAGCCGGAAGTACTTACATCGTGTATCAAAACTAAATAAGAAGGGACAGGAAACCATTAACTGATTACACCAGAAAGGCAAACCACCAGTGGACATTGCAAAAGAATCCCGCATCTGTTGTTCTAGTTTTTCTGTCAACTTACTGCTAACAAACTCGTTTTGTGGCACTGAATGAACTAATACCTTCAAATTATCCAGGCTATCCAGTCTTCCTTCAGCAAATGCATGTATTCTTTCACAAGAAAGAAGGTGAAATGAGCACTTGTTCATGCCTTCCAAACTTCTAAGCAAAAACAATATGTCATAAACAGGACTAGACTTATCAAAACCAGAAGCAAGTTTGCAAGGGAACATTCTGGGCAAAAAGGCAGTATTCTGCACTAAGGGATCAACTTCAGCTGAAACAGAGGAATTCTGACTTAAGCATTTATTCTTTTGAGGATCACTACACTTAGATTTTCTATAAGTAATTGTGTATACTCTACTCCACAACTTCGCCCCAGTAATCATTTCAGTTTCTGATCTTATTTGTTGTTGAAGAATTGCCTGATATAATGTCAAAGTTTGGTCCAGTTTATGACCTTCTAGGAAAAGTGTCAACTGTGGTGAAACATCTTCATTGTCACCAGATGAACAGGACTGAATTTCTGCATTGACATCTGATTCTGCAGGAAATTTTTGTTCTTGCACTGCAAAGCCCTGAAAAAAATGAAAAAGAACAATTTGAGGCCAGGTGAGGACAGGTAAAGTATGTTACAGGAGAGAAATAGAAGCAGCCCTCACAAAAGGAAAAGAGGTCAACAAGAAGAGTGAAAAATATGCAAATAATTTGCTCAAACAGCTTATACCATACATTCCCAACTACTTACAACATCAGTTTCATCCAAAGTCGTTGTCTGGCCATGGTCCATTTGACTTAAATGCACTACTTGTTCAGATGCAGACTCTGGCAACTTAACCTCTTCTTCCTGCAGGAAAGCATGACAAAAACAACTGAAGCCCCAAAATTTATATTCCCATAACAAACATAGAAAAAGATGAAAAATCTTTGAACAAATAGACTATTGGAGAGTCAACCAACGACATGGATCACCTGCATCTCAGGCAAATTAATGGAGGTGCCATCATTATCAGTCTCCACAAAGCCTGAACTCTCGCCTTGACTAGAGTTTGCATTCACTGGTAAATGAAGAGATTGATAATCCATCTGCTGCTCCAAAGTCTGAGCTTCTGTTTCCACGTGTTCCATTCTTTTTTCAAAAACTTTAGGCCGCAGAAAATTCTCAATGGCATCCAAAGAAGAAAAAGGATCAACAGTCACAGCATGTTCAGAATAATCACACAAACATGTCTCCCCTTCTTCCCTAAGGAAATGAACTCGAAAACAAGGATATGTTGTGGAGTGTCCATTTGGGACAGTAGCATATGAGTGTCTCTGCTTAAAGTCATGGCTTAAAACAACAGGGAAGTTTTCCAAAGAAGACAAAGCGCTTTGTAATTTTTGTGTTATCACTAACAAAGGCAAGTCCTCAATGAGGAAATCTGTAGAAGACAAAAGCAGCCTTGCAAACACCTCAAATCTCTTTCCCAGAACACACAAATGACTGTTTACACCATTAAGCTCCACTTTATCACCATGATACAGACCATTAGATAGGTAATTTACTAGTGACTTCAGGATTCCACTTTCAATAAATTCAAAAGTTGAAACAGGTTCTCTTCCAGTAATCTTCTCCATGATCTGGTGCAATACAGAGGAAAACTTTTCTTGATTTTGATCTGGGGTATCCCCATTAATAGGCATGCTCATCAAGTCACTCAAGGCATGTGAAAGTTCTTTAAGATTTTGAAGAATCTCAGTCACCCCTTTCTGAGAATCAAATAAGTCTGGAGCAAAGTAATTGGTCTTAATCTGCTTTGCAAGATTACAAACAGAATCTTTTTCAATCTTGCAATTTCCTGTTTCTGATGCTGAGTGAGAAGGTCCAGCGTTAAAAGCATAACATAAGCATTTTAGGACCTCTCTTCCGGAAGACTTTTGACTTGAATCAGATGGCAGATGGAAGCCACCATTCACCAGAAACATTGATTGTGAACATTTCTCAGGTGTTAAGAGAGCATCAATGGCAAAGAACAGACCCTCTTTGATAAAAGAGTTCAAATAAACATCGGAAAGCTTTTGGAGGATCATCTCAGCAATCTGTAGAGCTAACAGCAGGATATGGTGATCCTTACGAGTAAATATGCCAGCCAGAAAACTGTCATTTTATCCAGATAAACCATAAGATCTCATTAAAATCTATACATGATCCATTCCTAATTCTGTTTTTAAAAAATATATATTTAGAAAAAGGAAGCTTACCTTGAAATGTTGGCACTCTTAAACAAGTCAGCGAGCATGTCAGATTTGCTCAAATAAACCAACTTACTTACAACAGATAGGCAGCCATAACAGATGTATATATTTGCACCAGAGTTAACCACCTACATGAAAGACAAAGCATAGAGCATTGGCCTACTGAAAGGAGAACAAATGGCAATTTCATCTGCAAGAATGTGGAACAGCAATTACATCTTTATATAATAGGAACAATACCTGGATCAAAATTGGAAGTATATCCATTCCAAGCTTTTGTAGTAGATCAGGGCGACTAACTAAAAAGGATTCTTTGTCCAAAATCTGTTGATTGCCTTGATCTCTTGCTGATGGAGGAAGCATCTCATTTAGCAACTTTAGAACTTCATGTACCTGTGAGAAGAACAATCAAAGTATAGCAAAAATGACCCATGGCCCTTTTTCTAAGGTTATAACACCCATTATTAAATATTAAAAAGCAGATATTAGAACTAGAAAGCTACACATCCAAGCGTTCTCAAAATTTGCTTAAAAACTACTTGATAAGCCAATTTTTTTAATTTACCTAAAATAAAATTTCAAATTTGTGAGAGAATTTTTCTTTTAAAGCAAATGCTTTTTATGCTTTGCCTAACACCCTCAATATTAGCATCATAGGAGAAACCAGCACGCAACACCACACTCATAACCAAATTAGCATCAACTTAAAGCCCCTTGAGTATAAGATAAATTCATTCCCCTGCATTTTCCCCAACTGCATTGAAGTTCAGTAAGGGGATTTCTAAATCATGTGCCCTATTGTAGCTCTAATAGTCTCCCTCACTGTCTTGTACTACTTCTAGGCACCACATGAACCAGAAGAAATTAAGGACAGGAATGCTGGATCCCTGCAGTCTGTATGATTATGCATTCCTCACATGCATGTGATTCTCCAGAAATTTTAAACACATATTTCTTTTCACTCTATAGATACATAAGTATGCAAAATATAGAACAGGCAACAATTCATCTCATGTTCTTCTCCCCAACCATGCTTGTTATTACATTCCATAGATAAAATAAAAGGTTCATAATTTGAAACAGACCATGTTTCTGCTCTTTTTCTTCCTGGTTAAGTCTAATGATGCAAACCTGATTGCAATTGCCATGGACCAGATGTGGGGAAGATATTCCGTGCAAGAGGTCATAAGTAGATAATATATCCTTCAACATGCTGCTTATATTTAGCTCATACAGTCTTTTGAAAGCCACACACGAGCCAGAAGAAAGTTTTCCAAGTAATCCAATTAAACCCTGCCAATAAACATGTAGGAGTCAAACCACCACTTTGAAGCACATAGCTCAACCATGGAGAGAAGGAAATATGCACACATTGTAAATAGGCTGGGATAAGGTAGTTCGGCCATTTGAGTTGATGAGGTTAGTGACTTCATTAATCAGCTCATTTTCACAAAGTTCATCTAGCATATCAGAAGAGTGACTCATCCGCTCTGCCATCTTAATCAAGCAAATGGCTGCACTTTCTACCAACTGGACAATGTAAGCAAAGCAGAAGCAGTTAAGTTTATAAAGTAGTTAACCTATTAAAGAAGTCATCAACAAAAGCTAAACAGAGCAACTCAAACCTGTTGATCCTCATGTCGAAGAAGACCACATAATATTGGAACAGCTTCCATTAAATTTGAAGGAGTGTCAGAAGGAAGTTTCTTACATATGTTCACTACAGTTGAAAGTGCAACTCTCTGATTGACAAAGATAAAAGGAAAATTACCAAAAGTATTTAGGCTACCCACAGCCTTTTGGATATCAACTCTAAGTCTAGCTAACAACATGTGGAACAAACCATAAGAACAAATGCCACATTCCATTACCTGTACACTTGGTAAGAAGAAATGAATAAAATTTAGAACAGCCATGATAGCCCCAGCTTCTAAACAAGCAAGTGGTTGCTCACGAGATATTTTCTCCAATGCTTGCAAACACTACATATAAACAACAAATACAACATAAATGCATGCTGCATAGCACTCTTCACTTGCATAATAAAATCCTCAATTACACTACTAGAGATACCTGCTCAGCTACATCCAAGTACTCAATTGCCAACAATCTTTGACAAAGTGCTGGGACAGCTTCATGCCCAACAAGGTAATTAGATGATCTAGGAAACACATCACATAGATATGTTATAGCCCTTATAGACAATAATATTATCTCTGCATTATTCTCATGCTTCGCTAGCTTTACAAGAAGCGAAGATAAGGAATCTGCCACAGAGCCAGAAACAGAATCCTCTGTACCAAATGACAACACTTCACAAAGCTCGGTTAGTGCAGCCAACTGCCCAGATGGATCATTATCTACATCCAAATTTGACAAAATGCCACTTAATTTCCCATGATCACTAGAGGATCTCCGTCTTTGATAATCACGAAGCATGATGTGCCTTCTTGGCTCTGCATCATCAGAATCACAAGACCCATATGGTGAATCCTTGTCCTGTTCTCCATCTGAGTCAGACGAGAAAGCGTCCATGTCAGCGTCATGGGTTTGAGGTGTAGAATTTGTGGAATGCACTTGGGTTTGCGCTGATGAGTTCGAAGAACTTGGTCTAAACTCCAATGAACTACAGGGACGTTTATCTGCCGGCAATTCATCACCCATCTCCGAGCGTTTCTGCCCGCGATTTCCCATTGACATTCTACCTTCAGCTCTATCAACAAAGAATCCAAACAACAATTTGCTCCTATGACACTGAAAAGATTACATCACAAGAAAAAAAAAAAGTGTAAAAATCATTGCTTTCACAGAAATTTCTCAAACCATCCGAGCCCCAGAACATTAAAATCCTTGAAAAAAAAAAAAAAAAGGAAAACCCATATTCATCAAATTTCTAGTCCAACATTCTTATCTTGATAGTTTTATGATCACAGGTTCAGCTAAAAACTAAGATAAGGCAAAAATAAAAATAAAAAAAAAATTTAAGCAGCAAAGGAGGAAGGAAACAATTGTTTTTGATATAATCACTGATTCATCACACACGAACCAAATAAAAAAATAAACAATCAGTGAGAAAAGAGAAACGAAAATGAAAGAAAAAAAAAAAAGATGAAATACAAAATAGAATCAGAGGCAGAATAAAAAGCTACGATCATGTTTCTGGAAGCAGAATTTTCGTTTTCATTTAAGATTAACGAGTACCTAATTTGAGTTAAGGATGTTTCCAAGAGCTGTAAATCTCAATCTAGGGTTTAGACGTACAGATATGATTTTCTTTCTTCCTCGTCGTCCTCTTCAATTTTCCGTGATTGATGAATATGACGATGAGTATTGACAGAAATAGAGAGAAAGGAGATAACCGTGAAGGAAAGTAATTGTTCGGAGCTCGTTTTCTACTGATGGAAGGCACAATCGTATGTTTGCGTGTGTATCGGGGATCGTATTACATTTTACGTTGTTGCGTACAGATGGAAATTGATTCGGAATCGAACGTTTCGTGGGGTTCAGAGTTTTTGGGCCGTCGATTGATGTACTGTGGGTTTTAGGTTTCCACCGCCTCGTGCACGAAAATTTCCGAGGAAAATCAAGGATCAAGTCGGGTGGGAAAGGAAAATCTTTTTTTTTTTTTTAAACAGTATAAAATCTTTTTTTTTTGGGTAAGGAGAACGGGGACTTGGGATTGAACCCAAGTTCATGTAGTCCTACGCACGTCTCTCGCAAGGGATGACCATTTGGCCACCGAGTGCGGGACGGGAAAGGAAAATCTTTGAAGTATCATTATTTTAATCTTGGATTGGATTCTGTTTGGGGTTTCAGTTTTCTTCTGTTTCTACGCTTGTGCGTTGCGGAAATTTTTCGATTTGTTTTAAGATGGAAATGGAGAATTAATATTCTTGGCTAAACAAAACAAATAATAATAAATTTTAAAAAAAGCTAAAATAATATAATTACTATCATTATATAATTAATTTTATTTATTTAAAAATTTACTTATAAAATTACATATATTTAATTATTAAATAAATAATAATATATCACATTTATTTAATAACACATCAATAATAAATTATAATTATAAATTTATAATTTTATAATATTATAACTATAATTTCACCAAAAATATATTACTGTATATCAGTGAAGGCTTGTTACTCTTACTTTCTAAAAACTGGGTTTATGCAATATACTTAATTAAAAAGAAATAAAAAAGTGAAAAAACAGTTAAGACATTCTAATATTTAAATTAATGACATGTTGATTTTTATTTTTTTTAAAACAAAAATGATTTAAGGTGTTTATAAAACCATATAATTTTCAAATAAAAATTTTAATAACAATAAATAAGAAATGAAAAACAACAATTCAAGGAGTTGTATCTTACTCTTTACATTCATAAGATTTAATTCTTTTAAAAGGTGAATAAAGAAGTAAATTCTTTGATTAAATTGAAAAGTGATTAATCTCAATATTTCTACTAACACATTCACGAAGACACTAACCATTAAATCAAAAAATAAAATAAAAAACAACTACGAAAATGATACCCTAGAATGACCGGAAATGCAAAACCAAAGAGAGAGAATGTGTCTCGATGTGGCGAGAAGTGTCCCGCTTTTTATGACAATCTAAAAGCAAGAAAGGTGGGTGGGTGTCCAAAGCCGCAATGCATTTCCAATTTTTGCCGGATGATTTGATTTTTTCTAGCCAATAAAACGAAATTCAAGGGAGAGGAAGAAATAAGAAAAAGTGCCCCGCAGCATTCCATTTTCCAGTACGTTGAGGAGAAAAAAACGGCCAATGCTGGCACACGCAAAAGCCAATTTACTTTAACGTGGACTTTTGGCGCACATAAGCTACAGCCAGAGCCAGCGGAGCTTTGAATTGGACTGTACTGAGCGCATTGGGCAAATAAGAATAACCCACTAATTACCAGAACAATTATTAATCATCTCCGATAATATTTAAAAGCTATGCATAAATAAAAACAAGTAGCACAGAAGATTAACAACTATGAAAATGATTGCATTAGAAAGTTATTGCCCTCAATATTTTATTGCAACATCAAACTAGTAGCAGAGTGATTGCGATGGACTCTTTTAACTTAGGGCAAGGCATGAATAATAAGTATGCATACATGCACTTATTTGATGCAACATCATATTGGAAAAAAATTGCAGGAAAATTTATTGTAACTGAATCATTACCGAACAATTATGATGAGGCTAAGAGATTACAGGCACAGCTGCGTGTGGTACAGAATTGGCAGCTTCAATATCAATACCTACATGAGGGGACCTTTGGCAAATTGCAGCAAGTCAAAGAACGGTCAGTAATCTGTATAATCCAAGGACAGAGCTTTCCAAATAAAATTACCAAATGGACAAAGAGGTACCATAGTAATCTATGAAATTCAGCATTATGAAATACTATGGAACATTAATCCTTACATTGTCCAAAATAATAATTAAAGGGAACAATAAAATGGGATGTTTTCTAACCATGTCTTATCAAATGTTACAACAACCTAGCCCAGGGGTGGCAAAGTCTACAATAAACACTAATAATTACAGTATTTCTTTGAATAGTCACTCAATTCCAAAGAATGACTATTTAAAGAACAACCAAATATACAAAACCATATTATAAAATAATTGTCTGCACGAACAGGAGGATGAAAAGTACCCATAATGTTGGTTCCCTTGTTATCAGCACTCGAGCAACATCTTGAATGGGATCCGGAACTTGTTGAAGGCAGTGCGCATTACTACTTTGTATTTTGCATAGGAACCATCAGATGTTGGGCCTGTGACAGCAAACGTTTTAAGATATTAGAGCTGGCAAACCAAGCATGAATTGAAAGAGATAAATGACAAGCGAGAAGTCCACTCATAAGCTTTACTTGTTTCATTAACTCAGCATAACTATTCTTACATAAGCAGTGTATCAGTTTCCCTGTTCAAGCATCAGCGACTATTACAACAGAGCTGAACTAATCAATGAGAACTATCTAGAGAAAAACCATTCCCAGAAGGCATATAACTTACTATTTAAGGTGACAACTTGCTAAACAGAATAAGTAGGATAGCCGACAGCAAAGCACATCTAGACAAAAAGATAACTTTCACTTCATTCCCTAGATAATACTAACTTATAGACAGATCATACGATAGAGGCTAACATAGCATTGGCATTATTTAAATAGCATGATCTGACATAAAAAACTAACAACCATTCATGTACCCTGACTGGCTTACGGATAATTTCCTGAAATTAAAAATAAAAATAAAACCCTTATGGTACTAAAATCATATTACAGAAGAACCAAAAAAAAAAAAAACCTAAAATTAAGGAGAAACATTGAGACTAAAGTAACTCATAGACAAGTATGGCAAATTCCAAGTGTTGTAACATCCCTCAAACTCGTTGATACTTTTAGCTCTTTATGACATAAAAAGTGAACATCCGAGGTTACATAAAAACTCAAAGGTATCCAGTCCCCAAGTGTACTACAAAGTACAAACTAATAACAGTAGTATTCCTCAGATAAAATGATGATGCAGAAGTTCAACTAAATGTTTGTGCAGTGCAACTGACATGTCACTAAGTGTGTGTTTATGCTTGCATGCATTTGACACACGCACACACACAGGGCAGGGAGGGAGAGAGAGAGATTACTTGAGAATTCCCATAATTAACACCTCTCGAGAATGAACCTTGGTGAGCAATCTGCCAAAAATTTTACCAGCAAATAAGAAGAAATAGTGTTGCTCACAAATGAGCTTTGAGTTGAAAAAGAAGAAGAATCAATATGATGCATTTGGATCAAAAGTAAAATGAAGCTAACCTGTGCATTTGAACTTGATTGGACATCCTTCTTCGCAAATGCCTCCCCAGCCTTAGCTGACCCCTTAGTGTCACCCTATCAAACACCATAAATTGTCAATCAGAACATCAGTAAAACCAGCTCAATTACAGAATAACACAATATAAGAGAGAAAGTTGGGGGGATCACAGAAAAACTAGTAAAGTAAAATCATGAGTCAAGAATATGAACTTACCTCCATCTGTAGTGTCCCAACCAACCAATATAACACGCACACACACAAAAAAAAAAAAAGGAAAAGATCTATCAGTTAGATGAAACTTTTTATAACAAACTTAACACTACCAGTAAGGCAAAATATACAACTCAACACCAAATTCAAAAGTAACTTACATCTTGAAACAGAACAAAATGTGTCAGAAATACTAAATCATACTCATTATTTCAACATTTTCATTCTAGGTAACCAAGCGAAGGAATCAGATGGAAGTTAAATCACCTCTCTGTATCTCATCAAGTAAGTCTTGAGAGGATCAATGAAATCTTCAAACCCTAAAGTAGCCATAGCCCAGAGAAGATCATCCCCATTAATAGTCTTCCTCTTCTCTCTCTGACACTTATCACTTGCTCTGCACATTGATCAATTTCCAAATCTTCAATTAGGCAAAAAGTGAGGGAAAATAGAATGAGAAACAAAGCAATCAACATAATTCTTGCTTGTAGTGCTAATAAATTCATACAGCCAACTGTCCGGTCACCAATTCTATTGCACTACAGAGATGTGAATAACCAGAGTCAAAAACACACATAATCATCAAAATGGTCAATCCATTGACAGACAGAGGTATAAAATTCAGAAACAGCAACAGAAGAAATCAATATCTTCCTGGTGGAAATGAAACCAGCAAATTGAGCGACCAAATCCCCCCACAAACATCGAACTCAAAACAAAACAAATTAACCATAAATAAAACAATTATAAATCTCTACTAATGATACTTAATATGAAGTAAAATTAGCTATACGCATTTAATCACCAATTAGCAACATCAGACACCTAGAGAATCATCGGAGATCAGCCAGGAAATTCAATCGCCGAATCATCCAAATCCAATTCAAGGAAAAATGACCAAAATATGCTCAATTAATCACATTAAAAAAAATAAAAATAAACGAGAAGAAAGAGAACCATACTCGCTGGTAATGAAGCTAATGAACTCGGAGACACATTCCTGCACGATCTCCTTCGCATCCTTGGCGATCTTACCGTTAGCAGGCAAGCCCTTCTTCATGATGCGACTGATGTTAGCAATAGGAAGATACCTATCCTGCTCCCGAACATTAGATCGAGGACTCTGCTCGCCGCCACTCTCATGGCTCCCTCCGCCTGGACTCGCCGGCACGTCCGCCATACCTCCAAACTCAGAAATCCTATCACAAACAAGAAAACCATCACGAAAAATCCAATTCCACAGAAGAAACCCTAGGGAGCGGAAGAGAGGAGAAGAGAAAGAAAGGGGAGGGGGGGAAAGTGAAGGAGGGAAATGAGAAATAGAATTTACCTTGGGGGAAAAAAAGGGCGGGAGAGAAGGAGATTGGATTTGGGGAATGGGATTGGACTGGATCGGACGCTGGAGAAGAGAGGAGAGAGGAGAGGACTCAGATGAGAGGGTTAGGTATATCAACACCGTTGGTTTCGTTTTTATTTCCCTTCCTGGGACTGCGGTTGCTTTGCACTGATTTTTTTTTTATATTCTTGTTTTTTTTCCATTTTTTTTTGCTGTTCCTGGAATCTGGCTTTGGTACTGCAATCCTTTCATACCACGTGTTTTGGTGGTTTTCTCATTTTCGTCCTCTTTTTTATTTTATTTTATTTTATTTTAATATATGTTTTTAGGTGCGCATTAATGTATAATAAATATATACTTTTATTATAGTTTTATATTAACAATATATAAAAATTAAAATTGATTTTTTTTTTATATTCTTGTTTTTTTTCCATTTTTTTTTGCTGTTCCTGGAATCTGGCTTGGTACTGCAATCCTTTCATACCACGTGTTTTGGTGGTTTTCTCATTTTCGTCCTCTTTTTTATTTTATTTTATTTTATTTTAATATATGTTTATTTTATTTTATTTTATTTTAATTTTCAGGTGCGCATTAATGTATAATAAATATATACTTTTATTATATTTTTATATTAACAACAGATAAAAATTAAAATTAAATTTTTTTAATATTTTTCTTAAGGCGTTCAATCTCAATCTCGAGATAAGTTTTTTAATATTTTTCTTAAGGCGTTCAATCTCAATCTCGAGATAAGTTTTCATTATATTTTAATTATTATATAGTTTTAATTGAATATT